AAATATTTTCTCATTTAGGCACCAAAAGAATCCCAACATCACAGTGCAAAGAAAGATCAAAGTGACCTCTAACATCTCTATGTTCTACACAAAAGGCATATATCTTCTCATTCAGGCACAAAAAGAATCTCAACATCACAGTGCAAAGAAAGATCAAAGTGACCTCTAACCTCTCTATGCTCTGCACAAAAAGCAAATATTTTCTCATTTGGGCACAAAAAGAATCCCAACATCACAGTGCAAACAAAGATCAAAATGAACTCTGTTCTACACAAAAAGCATATATCTTCTCATTTAGACAAAAAGAATCCCAACATCACAGTGCAAAGAAAGATCAAAGTGCCCTCTAACATCTCTATGCTCTGCACAAAAAGCAGATATTTTCTCATTTGGGCACAAAAAGAATCCCAACATCACAGTGCAAAGGAAGATCAAAGTGACCTCTAACATCTCTGAGACATGAGACAACCCAGTTTTTCTTGTTCCACTAGTTGATGATCTACACAAATTGTAAGAGACAACAGAACACATGATACATATTATGCTCTCCAAAATTAAGAAGGGAAGCAGGTAAAACGAAAAGAGCACAAGGAAACTGGATGCAAATGCATTCATCAAATAATATACACACATATGATCCCAAGTTCCCAAAGCACAAAGCCAGGCCACCAAATATGAAAGTAGAACACCCAAAGAAGGAAAACAAACCCAAGGATGGAGTTCCCTCTCTCTTCTGTCGACTTCTGGAGGGGGAAAGACAGTGAGGACAGGAAAGAATTGATTGAGGTTCACTGTGGCCAAAAGTTAGAGGTCTCTCTCTCTCTCTCTCTCTCTCTCAACAGGAAACTTAGTGCTGGAAGTGTGCATGTCTGTTTGACCATATTTTGTGATCAGATCTGTGAGACATGGTAGGAAGGTGACAGAGTGTGATGTGGACATTGACCTCCACTGCTTTGTTTGGGGTGCAAGTGGGGACAGTCTAATCCAACCCAAAATCTAATTGGAGTTCTGTATTAATGTCTTTGCATCCATCCCAAACTTTAAATGAGACTGCATTCATATCACTTCATTGATTCAATCTCCTAAAACAAAATGACCAAAATGTATTCCACTGTGCTTGCATTTCTCGACCATCACCTCGAACAATAAAACCCTATCAAACCCCCACTCATCACATCGAGTTAGAACTGATCCCTTGAACAGTTGCTGGCACCCACCAGACTTGTTCAGGCATGTGTTCTTCGGATGCTGACTTCATCACTCAGCAATGGCAGAGATGACAGCTCGAATACAACTAAGAATCACGTCCAGGAATTGGGTGGCTCCAGTCGCTGGATTCAGGCATTTCTTGCAACGATGATGCGTAAGTGTACAGAGCACAAAGCCTGAAA